CCCTGGGTCAGAGGGCAGCTCAATTAACCTCCGAGGGACTAACTTCATACACTAGCAATTTGAGAACATAAATGTCCCTAAAATGCCCTCATAACTCTAAAAATTGCAACACCATGCTCCCATCTCTTACCTCTTCAGATGGCTGTGTTGCTTCCCTTGAGGTACAACCCCTCCCTCCAAATAAATAAGGGAGGGGATAAAAAGCTGAAAAGTCTGTTCCCATCTAGAAAACACTCAGAAATACTAACCACTATGTATGCAACAAATTCATTTTTAAGCATATCTCGGCAATGTTAGAAGGCCTGAATTTAAATTTCTCATTTAAGACCTTTAAATAGGGTAAGAGATAAGAGAAGAAATGAAGAAAGCAAAGTTCTAAATCTATCACTCTGGCCTGATAGTTAGTCAACTTTTCAATAAACGAATGTATAATAACAGCAACCATGTATTAATATCTACTGCATGCCTGACAACAGGCTAAGATTTTAATCTCTTATATCTCACAATACTCCTGTGGCATAGACACTGTTACCCCGATTTTACAGATAAGGGCAGGAAATGGAGACACGAGGAGGTGGCCCAGAGCCTCACTTCTGCTAAGGGGGTTCTGGAATTTAGCAGCAGCTGCGTCAGATCCCAAAGCACATGTTTGAAAACCAGCGGAGGCAGAAGGAACAGCACTATTAAGTAAAGCCCAGAGGATCCCCAGACTTGCTGCTTGTCGCTCTCCTCCTCTTGCTCTGTACTTACCAGCCTTCAGCCAGCGGGTTAAAGTTGAGACCCGGCGAGAGCCCTGGTGAGCTGTGAGCTGATCAAAGTGATGTCAAGGAGGGAGCCCGGCAAGGCAGGCAAAGCCCCAAATGGTCCGTGAATGGAGGAGCAGCTGCTCAGCCTCTGTTTGCCGTTTCGTACCCAGAGGATTAAATATTTCATACCAGGATTTCTTTGACCTCAGTATTGGCATTTTGGACCAGATCATGCTTTGTTGTAGGGGCTGTGCTGTTCACTGTAGAATGAACATCCCTAGCCTCCATCCACGAGCTGCCAGTAGCAGCCTCCCCCTGCCGCCTCAGTTGTGATACCAAAAATGCCTCTAGACCTTGCCAAGTGTCCCCTGGAAAGCAAAAGCATCGCTGGTTGAGAACCAAGGATTTATACCAGAAATAAGGAAGCCCTGCCCTGGCTGCTCGGAAACCCATATGTTAAAAAGAAAAAGCAACCCCAGGATATTGCCTGTTTTAAAGCCCTCACCTCCACTGCCACCCCAAACAAGCCCCACTGTGTCTGTCCACCTTCATTCTCCTTCCTGTCCCCTAGCGCCAGCATAGGTGGTCTCTTCTGTGTCCTACGATCCCCTAGCTTATCTGTCACCACGGACCTTTGGCAGGTGCAGATCCTCCCAACCCTGCTGCCTGTTGGAATCTTATCTCTCCTTCAGGGGTTAGCCCCTCCTCCTCGGGAAGCCTGTCTCCCCAGTCTGCAGTGTCCTGCACCCCACCACTGGTCCTGCCCTCCTTTGTGATGCTGCCTGCGTGCTGGGCATTCTGGAGAGCAGAGGTCCAGTCACAGACTCCCCGGGTGCTCCCCACATGCCCTGCACACTGCTAGGAGGACAGGCCATGCCAGTGGCAGGAACTCTGCAAACTGAGCCCTTAACCACTCTCAGGTGTTAAGCCCTGTTGACTTCCTTCCTACCTGTGCCTTATGGTCCAAGGTTGGCCCTGGTGGAGCCCAGGCACATATGTGTCAACCTTAATTAAGTCGTTTCTCCCTCCTGCAGGCTCCCTGGCCATGAAGGTCTGCAGGAAGGACTCCTTAGCCATCAAACTCAGCAACAGGCCCTCCAAGCGAGAGCTAGAAGAAAAGAACATCCTTCCCAGGCAGACGGATGAAGAGCGGCTGGAGCTGAGGCAACAGATCGGCACCAAGCTCACCAGGTAGGATGGCAGCACCCTCTGTCCTCCCGACAGCGGGCCACCGGCTCTCCAGACTGTAGTAGAATTCAGTCTCCACCCGCAATTCAGTCCGTGGTGTCTTTTGAGTAACTTACTGCAGAAAGAGCCAATGGAAAACATCTCATTTTGTCTCGAGGGTTGCTTCTGCAGTTCCCTCTCCTTCACTCATCCAAATCTTAGAAATTGCACTTGATTCAAACTTCAAAGAGAAACTGATAGGTTTCCAGGGAAAATAACCATCTATAGAAAATCTCTATCACTCGATAGAATTGAAAACCTATGTATAGATGAGCTGTGGTTTGGTTAAGCCCAAAGTGATCAGATAAACACACTCTCTGCCATCCTGTTAAGTGGTTGGTAGTGATGCCTCATTACCACACTGGGATTCTTCCTGAGTGATTGCCCTTTATGTATGGATACTACTGACATAGGCGTAGCTTTATGCTATATTAATATGTTAAACACCTGTGTATGTGTTTGTAATCTAGGGCATGTTTGTATGGTATTTGGTAACATTTGTTGAGCGCATATTATTGGCCAGCATTGTTTAAACATTTTACATGTATTAACTCATTTAATCTTGGAGCCTTTCTATGAGATAGACGTTTGTATGCCCATTTTACAAGTGAGAACGCCAGGCATAGAGAACTTTAGTTACCTCGCATAATATCTCGCAGCACAACTCCAGAGTGCTCCCACCTGGGCCCTAACTTTATACCAGGCACTGCGCCGAGTGTTTGGATGTAACACGTAGAAGGCTACTGGGGCCTCATCCTGCCTCTCCCTCTTACTGGCTGTATAGCCTTCAGTAAGGCACTCATTCTCCTTGCCTGTGTTTCTGCATTTGTAAAACAGTGAGTTGTGAAAATTAAACAAGTTAATATAAATATTTAAAACAGTGTCTGGCCCATAGCAAGCACTCAGTTATCTGTTGTCGTCATCACCCTCACATTGTACAAGTAAGAAAGGTGGTACCTAAAGAGGTTACGTAGGCATAGGTGTCATCCCCTGGTGTGCTGGTGTCTTGCCTCCCACCTGATTAATTTTGTTTCTTAAGGGCAGCTTCTTTCTCATACGTAACTTGGTCTTCAACTGGAGGATGATATGGTGATGGTTCAAGGCTGGGTAAAATAGTCGACACTGATAGATGATGACCTAGTGTTATGCAGTCTTCAGAGTCAGAGAATCAAGATGTCTAACCACCTGCTATCCACACACACACTTTCTCTCACTGAATGGAGTAACATGGCCACAATGTGGTTGTCCAGATCTCTGTTCATACCCCAGTGATAGCTGCCACTCTCTAGAGTTCCCATCCCATTGTCGGAAAGCCTGATTGTTAAATAGTCTTCCTTCTGTTGAACTGAAATTACTGTCCATGCAACTCCCACCCACTGTTCTTATTCTATTTTTTGCAGCCTCATCCCTCTTAACAAGACATGTTTTAGAGGACTTGGAGACAATGATCCTGGTCTTCCCAGTTCTCTTCTCCCAGGCTACTTGTAACCAGATCTTATCTCATGAGTGGGTATGGTTCTGGGCTGCTTCCTGACGCAGCTTGTTCACGTTCGCACATTATCCTTTGGGGGATTAGGAAAAAGAGAAGGAGCAGGTCCTCGAACCAGCCCTCCTTCCCAAAGTTCAGCTCCACTCCTCCTCCCCTGAGCATGGGCATCCCTTATC